TCGAACTGACGGACTGCGAGATCATGACCTGAGCCAAAGTTGGACACTTAACCCACTGAGCCACCCAGGCGCCCCTTCAGTGTAGTTTTTCAAGTGAAAGGAATTGGCATTCGAGAGTGTGTTCGTTCGGGTTCTTGTGCGTGTCTGTTTGTACCCCCGGCACCAAAAACCTCAAAAACTGTGCAGCTCCAATTTCTGTCTTGTTCAGGTTTTGGGTGATGTATATAGGTCTCGCTTGTCAATGAAAGCTTATTTAATGTAAGCTATAGCCACCGCCTTGAATCATTTCACAGCCAGAAGAGTGTACTTAAATAATTGTGTGTTCAGACTTCAGTTTAGTGAATCTCAGTAAATAACTTCCCACTGGAGACATTTCTTCCCTTCAGTCTCTAGAAGACAAACTGTAGTACAAGCATCAGCTTTCCCAGGCAGCTTTCCCAAAAACCTGCAGGGTGAAAAAGAGATCCTTCCCTCAAAATAGGGAATATTACCAGGTGCCCGCCGTATCTCGGGTGCCTGTTGTTTTCCATTGTCTGAGTTGCCAGTTAGAGTGCAGGGAAGGGACATCAAAGTGCAACAGGGCGAAAAGGGCAGCTGTAGAATTTTTACCACATTTCCCGGCGAAATGGTCACCACTCTGTTTCCATGACACTCTTCCTCCTGAGAACCTGACACGGGCTTCAGAAACCATCCTTGGGGTAATCTGGCATTCATAATGGGGATGGGGGCTATTCGGGGAAACACTTCCTAAATCGGGGACATCTCAGCCTTAGAGGAATCTGTAAAATTACCGGTAAACCATCTCTTTGCAAGTAGAACCAAACTTTGCTTCTATTCTTCTCAATTCCAGAAACGCTTTATCTTTATTTCCAGAAAGTTAATATTTAATTGGCAACAGGCTCTAAGTGTGTCAACCTTCAGCCTCTTTAAAGAACTAATGGTGTGAAAACAAATGTATAAATGCATCAGGGGGATCCCTGTGATTTATAGAAGCTCTACATAGAATAATTTTGAAAAGGGAAGACTTTTCTGGTTATAAGAAGATTCATTTTTTTTTTGACTTTTATGTAGTATGCAGCCATAGTGGGGGGG